TTATGTACAAAAAGTAATATTGGGCACTCATGTAATTTTATATTGGCATATTGGAATAGTTTTAAAGTGAGTTGGGTAGAGTTGGTTGACTGGTTGAACTTGGCCCACCTAATAAAAAGCTTATCATACAAAATGTGACAATGACTTGCCAATTTTTWAAATAACTTGCTATTACTTCCGAATTATTCGACATTTTACATTTTTTGAATATMTTTGGAGTGTATATTAGYTATTTAAGTGAGTGGGTCAAGTTTATGGACATCACAATTCACATCTAAATATATACGATATATTTATTTAGAACTTATTATGTTCGTTTCAATTATAAGTCGTATAGCGTCAATGCATAGAAACTGTTATTTGAAAATTGTTTGATAATTTGCTTTAGATTTAGGTACATCTTGTACAATGATAATTTATAAAACTGATTAACCTAGTTATTTTAATAAAAGAGTTTTTTTTAAACATAATATTATTATTATGTATATTAATTCTGTAAATTAGAATTTAATTAAAATTAAAAACTCGAGATCTATCATTTCAATTTGGATTATGGGTGTGACACGGACTATGGTGGTACTGTATTCCACGGTTGTCCGGTCGCCGGTGTGTTGGTGATGTGAGAGAATAAGATGGCACTCGAAGTACTACGAGGTTATGTACTGGGATGAGAGGTGACATTCCAATAATTTGACACACAAAACGATGTATTATATTATTAAAGAGATGGTTGTTTTATTGAAAGTTGATTGTTCACAAACGGTAATCAAATATTCAAATGTAATCTTATACAAGAGAATACAAAACGGTTAGTACTACAGTGGAATACGAATGTGTATAGTTGAATAACGTGAGAGATTACAATTGAATATTATGTATGTGTATCGTGGAAATTAAGATGAGGTACAACGTGGTCTGTCTAAGGACCCGTTTTACAACCATATTTTAAACCATTAAACCTTGGTTTTGCTTGAACCACTGATTTTACAAGCCGAATTCCGTGGTTTAACCGGAGTTCAACTACTGTAATACGGGCCCTAAATGACGGAAAACTGCACGACGGTCAATGACGGTGGTAGTCGATGTGCGGTCGTAAYCCCGTAACTGGCGTAACTCAACTACTCAACTCGTATTACGATTTACGAGAGCGAGATCGGCGGCGGCGCCGCGGTGGCCCGTATGCATCCGGCGCGACTAATATTGTCTTCCCGTCCCAGCTTGTGCCTTTTTGGCGCGGTRGGAGAGTCGACGGTGTCGCGCGGTAACCCGTGGTGGCGGTTGACAAAAGCGTAAACCGGTCGCTCGGTCGCTGTGGTAGCTTGCAGTTTGTACTGGTTGCCGCTGCTGACCGTGTCAGGTGAATGTAAAAATATATTGTAATCTGATTAAAAATAATATAAATTAATAATTTTTTGAAATTGTTTTCGAATTCGTATCGATTAAATAAAGGCTATTTACTGAGACGCAGAAAACACAGTGTATGGACTGGCGTCCCTCTAGGGAATACATGGTTATTTAGGTAATTAATATGTAACTATCACCAGTGGCGTATTTAGAGATTTGATGCACTGGGTAAATATAATTTGGTGCCTCCAACATTTTAACATTTATTTACCTTTGTTTTATGATCATAAATAACAACATTATCACACATAGAAGTTTAGAACATGGTATAATATGAAGCATAATATAAATTGAAACATTTAATTAAACAAAAGAAACATTAACATTTATATTTTACGATGAGATTTTTGGGCAGCAAAATCTTCAATGACCTCATTGTAACTAATTGATTTAGTTATCTCACATTCTATATTTAAAATTGCCAAACGGTTGTCATTCATTGAAGATCTCAAGTATGATTTCACTCTTTTCAAAACACTAAATGACCGTTCAGCTGAAGTATTAGAAACCGGATATCATAAATACATATGTAACGCAATACCTATCTACATGTGGGTATAGACATCTGCTATATTGTGATCTTCGATGATTTTGCACAACTCTAAAATAGATTTTGGTGACACATTTCCTGGTAAACTTTTCAAGTATCCATGAAAATRAATACATTMATTTATAAATGATCCATCGAGATCTTCAGGATACTGACTCTGTAATTTGGTACCTTTCTTTCTTACTTCAGTTACTGGTAACTTTATTAAACAATATCACGGAGCACGGACGTACTAGTCAGAGCAACCGCAGCGTAATTAATATTTAATAGTCGCCATAATAGTTAGTACTTAGTACAATATATACGCCGCCCGTCATCGAAGTAAAAATAGGTTTTATTGACGACTGATGACTGACGGGTTTCGGGGTGTCTCTGAAATTCCCATAGAATAATTTCCTGATATGTACAATATACATCACAGATAAGTCATCGCTCAACTATACATACAAGCAGTGTTGAATCCAGGTATACTTCGGGAGGGGGGGCGTTCGTCCCCCCTGACAAAAACAACTTTCTGACTTTCAACAAAATGTATTTATTTATTAAATGCACAATACTAATTTAAATATAAATAATTAATAGGTTTCTAGTTTATTTTGAACTAGAATGTCTGTTTTCTGAAATAATTAATTGGACTTAGAGTAATTCTTGCAGAATAATATTTTAGWCTTATAAAATAAACAAGTCAAATCAAATTTTTTCTAGACTCTTAGAATATTTTCATTGATTGAATTAATCGAGTCTGATGTTGTGAAATTAAATCTTTGACTTATGTGTGTGTTTTAAATACAATTGCAATAAATTACAAACTAAATAATCGTTAAAGTATAATCAAGACTCAAGAGTCACCTTTCTCATTATCCTTGGTTCCTGATACCTGTAGGCGATGAGATTACCACAATGCTAACACATGTTTGGTAGCTCGTTAGAAACGACAGATAAACGTGAAATAAACAAAAAACAAAATAAGTGAATGTATAATAATAAAATAAAATTTTTAAAACGCATTAAAAAWGTATGAACTTTAATTCCAATCAACATTTTAAAAATAAAACCAATACTTACGAAACACTATACGAAATGTTACCAAGCGTTACCTCTACCTACAATATATTCCGCATGACAGCCGGACGTGTATTCGGCCACTTGAGAAACTTCCAGGGACCTACGAGAAATTATACGAGCAATAATTCACAGATGTTCCGGATGCGATTGAACGCCGAGGAGGTGGGTCGGAAATTTGAAGTGTCCGACGACGAGCTGACGGTTGTGGCTCGCCGCATGTCGGATGCCATGGATGCGGGTTTATGGCGCAACGAACAACCTGGCGCGCTGGCCACAATTAGGTGCTGGGACACACGAGTATCGCGTCCATCACCACCTTCAGTCAYCGATACGGTTGTCCCCAAATTCTTGAGCCTGAATYTGTGTCAYGGTGATAGATTCAGCACGCAGTTTACGACCATCATGTTGGATGCACATAACGAAGTGAGGACCAGATCACGTGATCATCCACTGACGCCCAGCACCCTGATTACCGGAAAGGTTGCAAATCTGTTCGACCATGTGGCTAGTAGACTTGCCGAGTTCGCTGACGAGTTTCACATGAGGCGGGTCGGGTTGCCACTGGCAYTAACGTTAGGATTCCCAGTCTGGCACTCAGGGGCTCTGGGGAGTGCGGCTAGTCTCTGCCGATGGACCAAGGGGTTCGGCTGTGCGGACGCAATAAGCGGTGACGTGGTCGCCGAGTTGCGGGCGGCCGTGGAAAGGGCTGACGCGGTTGTAGGTCCGGTGGCCGTGTTTAACGACGCTTGTGTGGCAATGATGCACAGTGCTGCGGACAGGCCGGATACGCGTGCCGCGCTCGTCGTGGACGATGGTTGTAACTGCTGTTACGTGTCAGAATTCGGTCGTAAAGTCATCAACACCGAATGGGGCGCTTTCGGCGAGGATGGTGCGCTTGATCACTTGTTGACGAAGTATGACCGTCAGCTCGACGTCAAATCCCAAAATCCCAGCAAGCAAATTTACGAGAAAATGACTTCAGGTGAGTTACATTCGTTCTCGCCACGTTGTTGTGATTACGATATTACATTATTATTAAAGGTTCGAAAGTTATAAAAGCTAAAAATAGTCAAACTATGCACAGCAAAATTAAAAAAATATATATGAAAAACTGAGAAATATGCAAAAAATTAATCAAAACTCACACATCAAARACATATTATAATATTGTAATATTATAAATACCTAAAAAAAATTATATTATTGTTAATTTAAATATTGTAAAATAGGATCAATTCTATTCGATACTAAATTTGTATCTATAAATATTTTTAAAAAATCATTCACTTTTCAAGACCTAAATATATAAAAAGAATAAAAAATAGTTTTTGGTCCAYTATTATAGGCATGTATATGGCTGAGTTGGTGCGCGAAGCGGTTTTGGAGATAGCTTCCAATCAGGCGATGTTTGAAGGTAGGACTACGATCGCCATGAATACAGAGTATGCGCTCAAAGCCAAACACCTGTGGATAGTTGAGTCAGACAAAAGCCGATCGCATAGTGCTGTTCGGAGTATCCTGACCGACGTGYTGAATGTGACTGATCCATCATACATGGATTGCGAGCTGTTCCGGTACGTGTGCCGATGCGTCACAAAACGCTCTGCAAACTTGATCGCGGCAGGATTGTCAGTCGTGTTGAGGCGGACCGGATTTCCTGTCACGGTGGTCATAGCCGGATCAGCTTTCAAGACACACTCGGAGTACGCACTCACGGTTGGTAGCAAAGCGCGGCAACTGACGCCCAATCAGGCAAAGTTTACGTTACGGACAATTGATCAATCGCGCTGTCAGGATGCACGAATTGTGGCCAGGCTGTTGGCCACGATCCCATTGAATCCAGCACTAATATAAATGCAATAATATGTATTTAATTTATTCGATAAATCCAATTAAACCAATTTTAACATGATGAATCAATTACACATTTAAAAGTGTGGATAGTTTAATTTTAAACAATTGATAACATTATTTATCCCACGATTTCATCTCATGATTTCATCTCATCTTCATTCATGCGATATATTTAAATTATGTATTTTATTAATTTAAGTATACAGAAGTGATTTATAGATTATGATAAATAGTTATACTACCGACCGTGAGCATGTGCTTCGAGTGTGTCTTGAACGCTGATTCGGAAATGACGACCATGTCAGGAAATCTTGTACGCCTCACCATGACTGACAACCATGCGAGGATTAGGTWCGCAAACCGTCTGGTGAAGCATCGGAAAAGCTCTCAATTCATGTCAGACAGATCAGTCACATTAACAAGGATAGTCGAGTACGAGCAACCTATATTTCGGCAAAAAACATTTTTCATTTATCGGACCCTAACACATGTGATATGTGTTCAGATATAAAACATTGCCAATTGAGAAACCAACATACACTAAGGGCCAGTTGTACCGTCTCTGATTAAAGTTAACCGGAGTTTAATYGGCCRAWTTTGCAYGGTTAAATATCTGTTATCAGCTGATTAAGCGTAATCGAAGTTTAACCGTAGACGGTACAACTGGCCCTAACGTACGTACAAAAATGAAACTAAATAACGAGCATCTATGTGAAATATCATAGAACGGTTTCATCATCAATCCATGATACTTCTGCTACGACATTAAATCACTTCACATAAAACTACGAACATATTATGGTAATAAATACRGTGTTCAAATTTTTATTATTTTTTTTTCTTTAATAAATATAAATTTTCACGGACGTAACCATTGAAAATTTCTGTAAATACGCAAAAAATGATAATAATGTTGGAGAGACGAATATAGCGTCAAGAAAATCACGTTTCATTTAAAGGTACATAATATATTAGGTATGTGTTATGAATTTAAATCACCACAAATTGATAAACTTACATAAAATATTAATAACATATTAAGTATAAACCCTAATAATAATCGCAGCAGAAAAGAAAAAGTTTCTACATAAGACTTAGGGTCTTATCATTTCGAAATTAAAACATTGAAAAATGTAGCTTAGGCATGCAGTTTCATCATCAGATTCTATAACTTCTGATATGAATTTAAATCACTGCCAGCTGGATAACCTGAATACAATAATAATAGAATTCTTTGTAGAACAATCATTCACGTTATTAATATAGGTAACAAATAACAATGAAAGAGATTCTACATATGAACTTAATATATTCGTTTCAAATTTATATCATAAAATATTATAGTATGTACAACATATATATATTCATGTGTATATTGAGTATTGATGGTATGCAACATTCTATATGATTTGTTAAACGATAGTTTCTTCATCAGACCCCAAATACTTCTGTTATGAAATTAAATCACTATACCTCTATACCAGTGCTTCTCAATCTTTTTAGTACTGCGACCCAAATTTCCCCCGAAAAATTTTTCGCGACCCACATTGTTTCACTTTTCAATAAGTAGGTAATAAAAAACAAAATTTGTATTTTATAAATATGTATACATTTTTATTAGGTATTTCGTAATAAATAYATGACGAATTATTAGTAATCATTATTACTCACAATTCATCCAATTTCTTGGAATCTATATAATTTGAAAACATGAATTATTATTTATTACCCACGTAAAAATTGTTTGCGACCCACCAAAAATTGACTGACGACCCACCAGTGGGTCGCGACCCACACTTTGAGAAACGCTGCTCTATACATTAATAACGGAATTCTTTGTAGTACATTACTATTCACGTCAATAACAGCCGCAGAAATGATAGTGAATCAATAAATAAACTATATAAATCCTTTCGATTTTAAATCATTGAATATCGTATTAAAGGAATAAATATCTTCAAGAATATATTTAGCRTCCACATGTCAGATATTATTCAATTTTTATGTTAAACGATGCAGTTTCTTCATCAGACCCTAAAACATTTATTTCAATTTAATAATTCCGAATTATAGTACGTATAAATATTTCAATTGATATATGTATGTATATAGTGAGTATTTATGATGTTGACGCGGCAACGTTTTATACGAYACAAAAATGTTACGGCGGCTGTGTTAAATAATATTCACGTAACTGCTGCGGCGGCATTATGCGATATTGGCGATTATCTACATATTATATAATACACACAAAAATTAAACAATAATTAGAACAGTAATTATGTGTGTGTGTGTGTGTGTGCGACCAGCTTATCTTATTATATTTATGTTGACACAGTTTCTTCATTGGACCCTATTACTTCTGTTTGAAATTTTAATCACTGCCAACTGGATAACCTGTATACAGTAATAACGGAATTCTTTGTAGTACATTACCATTTAC